AAAAGCCCCCAGCAGACACGAGCCCCAGGTCTGCTTGCTGCAGGCTTTGTCCCTGGTGGCCAGGGAGGCATGGGGGGGGACAGGAAAAGCCTTGCGAGCTGCAGGTGGGGGTGGCTGGAGGTGTTTCAGGCTGCTTTTTTGGCTAGCACGAGGTATGGCGATGGACTTGCGGGGGGGCAGCATCCCTCCTGGAGTGCCACCCTCATCCCCAAACACAGATGAGCACCGGGGTCAGTGGCATGCCCTGGCAGACAGGGCTTCCTGCGGTGTGGCTGGTCCCACGGTGCTGGTTACACTGGCTGTCACAGCTGCACATGTTGGCACAGGGAGGTCGTGGTCCCAGCAGGGACCACTGGTCACCAGTGTGGCGGCTCTAGCTGTGCTTTCCTCTCCTGTGGTACTGTGTGGCTTTGTCTCCACCAAGGCATCCCCCCAGAGCCTCATCATCCTGCCCAGCCCGGGTCCTTCTCTTGGCCGTGGTGCTGACCCCCCAACACTGAGATGTCCCCCTCTGCCTCCGTCCCCAGGTGCCGAGTCCTTCGGGTTGTTCTCCTGTGTGATCAACGGGGAGGAGCAGGAGCAGACCCACCGTGCCGTGTTCAGGTGAGCTGGCCGGCACGAGCCGTGTCCCCAGCCTCTTGCTGGGGAAAGCTGGTGCCACCCTCCCACCATGGCAGGGACAGCCCAAGCCCTAGTGTTTCCAGGGTGGGGGACAAACCACTGCCCGTAGCTCCTGCCCTGCCCAGGAGCAATGTCTGCCCAGGCAAGACCTCCAAGGGCAGCTGGGACCGCTGGGGAGCAGCATGGGAGGTGCAATAGGGATACCCTTGCCCTAGGCACCAGGATGCTGCCGCCTTTTGAGCCTAAACCTGCTCTGATGCTTTATTTAGCATCTCGGGTCCACATGGCTAATTACACCTGCCTTGCCTGGGCTGGCGGTGGGTTTTGAGAAGGCCACCAGCGCTGCTGGCCAGCCCGGTGCCAGTGTCTCTCCACCCAGGTTTGTGCCTCGCCACGTGGATGAGCTGGAGCTGGAGGTGGACGATCCTTTGCTGGTGGAGGTGCAGGCGGAAGATTATTGGTATGAAGCCTACAACATGCGGACGGGCGACCGGGGCATTTTTCCTGCCTACTATGCTATCGAAGTCACCAAGGACCCCGACCATGTAACAGGTACCAAGCCTCTGCGTGTAGCCTGCTGATGTCCCCGCCTTGTGTCACCTCCTCTCTGCTGAGTGGAGGCTGGTGCTGAGCTGGGGGATGGAAGGGGACTGAGCTGGGCACCCGGCAGGGAGACATGCGGACGGGCGACCGGGGCATTTTTCCTGCCTACTATGCTATCGAAGTCACCAAGGACCCCGACCATGTAACAGGTACCAAGCCTCTGCGTGTAGCCTGCTGATGTCCCCGCCTTGTGTCACCTCCTCTCTGCTGAGTGGAGGCTGGTGCTGAGCTGGGGGATGGAAGGGGACTGAGCTGGGCACCCGGCAGGGAGTGATGGGCAGCTTCTGGAGTGATGCTGGGAGCTGGTTTTGCAGGAAGCTTTCCCTGGGAAATGGGAATATGGAGAGGGGAGATGTTGCTCAGCCCACATGCCCAGTCACGATTCCCACTGTGTGCTCTCTCTTCCAGCTCTGGCCAAGAGCAGCGACTGGGTGGACCAGTTCCGGGTGAAGTTCCTCGGCTCGGTGCAGGTTCCCTATCACAAGGGCAATGACGTGCTGTGTGCGGCCATGCAGAAGGTAGTGTCCCACCCCATCTCTGGGAGTGCGAGCACCTGTTCCAGCAGTAGGGCAGAGCCTCAGTGGGGAGGGAAAGGGTGAGCCATCATCCCCGCTCATGAGTCCCAGGGCTTTGTCTCTCTTTCTTCTCCCCCAGATTGCCACCACACGCCGCCTCACTGTGCACTTTAACCCACCCTCCAGCTGCGTCCTGGAGATCAGCGTGCGCGGGGTCAAGATTGCCGTGAAAGCCGACGACTCCAAGGAGCACAGCAAGGTAGTTCCCCGCTCCACACTCACCTCGTCCCTTCCCCAGCCCCTGCTCTGAGCTGGCTCATGCCCCCTGCACCACAGGCCATGTTTGTGTATGAAAATTGAAGGTTTCCACCCCGTGTCTGAGGGTGTTAGGAACACCATCAGTGGTGTTGTAGGGTCACCATAGGGTCCGCTGTGCCTCACAGGACCCCAGCTTTGGGCTGTACAGCTGCCGAGTGCATCGCTGTGCTGGGATGCTGTGAGCTGAGCCGTCCCAGTAATCTGTCAGCTGCTCCTAAACCTGCTGCTACTATTTTGAGTGCTGTCCTCCAGAACTGCCCTGTAATCTCTTTAGCGGGCTAGGACGGGCTTCTGATTAGCGTTCTGCATAAGTAGCCTAGCAAAGCACGGGGGGATGCTGGGCAGAGGCAGCAAGCTGTTGGGAAATAGGAGTAGTTCATGGCTCTGAGCACTGTGCCAGATCTGGGCTGGGGTTTCTGCAAGTCTTGCCGGTGTCTATAGGATGCCATCAACTTAGTTGCTCTTTAAACCCATGTATAAGTAAGTTCTCATTTCTGGCTGGGCCCCTTGGAACACCCAGGCTTGAATGACTTATTTAGTTTGGAGTTATCCATTCACTGTCTATCCACTGGTATCTCTGAGAGCCCTTTTGGCGAGGGAGGAGGGCTGTATGTGCCAGGCAGACAGCAGCACTGACTCTAGCCTGAGCACAGCCTAACCCGGGGCCTCCGGGGAAACCCCGCAGGTGGGGGGGGAGCCAGCAGGGCCGCCTGTGTGCAGGTGCTTGGGGCTGCCCTGAAACTGCTGCTGGTGGCAGCCCAGGATCAGGCTCCAGTTCATCTCACTGCTCAGTCCAAGGGCATATTTCCAGGGACCAGACACCGGCTGGTGCGCAGGGCGGTGGGGAGGAAAGCTTTGAGTTTGTCTCTCTTTCCCCCTCCAGGTAAACAAGTGTAGCCATTTTTTCCAGCTGAAGAACATTTCCTTTTGTGGATACCATCCAAAGAACAACAAGTGAGTAGTGGGGAGATGTGGAGGCTTCCCAGCACCCCAGTCCTGAGGGCTCCGCTTCCCCTACGAGCCCAGTGCTGCAGCTTCATGCAAAAGCAGCCTCTAGATGGGAATTACATCCCTGCTCCGGGCATGGTCCATGGCAGCAGGTGGCCACTAAGGTTTGGGAGGGGTGGGGGTGCAGGTCCCAGACCCCTGTGCTCAAGGGGGGGTACACCGTGGGGATTCTGGGGTACCTGTGCCTGCTCATCCGGTCACAGCCATCTCTCTGCCCTCAGATATTTTGGGTTCATCACCAAGCACCCTGCTGACCACAGATTTGCCTGTCATGTCTTCGTCTCGGAGGAGTCCACAAAGCCACTGGCGGAGTCTGTCGGGTGAGTCCTGGCTGGGCAGGGAGGGCTGAATCTTGCCAACTCCCCACATGTGTGGGGCTTGGACCTGGCCGGGGGCTGGCACCAGGCTTGGGGTGAGAGCCAGGGCTGACAGGGCTAGGGGCAGCGTATTCCTGACAGCGCTGGAACACGTCCCAGAGCAAGGCTTTGCAGGCAGATGGCTGCAAGTCATGCGCTGTGCAGGGG